AAAGTGAACAGAGCCCTAGTGTATCTGATCTCAGACTTTCAGACTGCATCACGTTGTGGTGCTGTGTTGATGCACGGCCTTTTGACAGGGCTCACTGAGCTGTACATTACAGCTGTAAGCACAGGCAGAAACTGGCAGCTCCATACCACGTATTTGTTAGTGTGACAAGAACTAGAAATATGTTTCAAGAGCATGCTTCCTCATACATTAGGAATTACGTTCTCATGGACGAATGACAGGGGTGACCTACAGAGGCTACTCAGAATGACATTATATTGAGCACAGAGACCCTGCTTCCCTGGCTGCTGATTCACAGGATCCCAGTTTGCTGGCAGAGATGTACTGCTGCCTGGGTACCTTGAGCTCTCCCTGTCTGATCACTTTGTTCCAAAAGGGCAGCCAAAGATAATCAGCAAAAGGAAGAGAGCAGTCTGCTGCTGGGAGGAATTAAATAAACTGCTATTTGCAAATAATGCTTGCAGTCACAGCACTGCAAGACAGACAAAAAGCCAGGAGAGCTGGCTGGGAAGAGGCCATCCAGCACATACCTCTGTCCTAGCAGTGATCTGTGGTGTCCCTTCCCTAGTCTGAATAGTGTTTATTTCTGTTATTTCTTGCTGTTTCTGTTACAGACAGCATAAGTCTATCTGTAGATAGGATAGATGGCCCCTTTAATAATTTTGAGGGCAGATATCAAATCCTTTCTCAAGTTTTTCTTCTCCAGACTAATTAACTTCAGTTTATTCAGTCATACTTTATAGCTTATGCTTATCTTTCTCTGAACCTCTTGTCACACAGAAATTCCTCAGAGAATTGTCAGCACTGGGAAAGGCAGCAGGTTACTTCACATCTCATGAGCTAACTCCAGTTTGCACATCTGGGTGTCTGCAGGGCGAGTGCTCTTCCTGACAGCATGCCGTTGTTGTGCTGCTACAAGCCCAGCTGATCCTCCCTGGGGACTTTCCCATCTGCTCTATGTGGCACTGACTACTTGTCCCAAAATGCCTTCAACACACCCATGTGGAAATGGTCTTTTCGAGAGGCAACTACTCCACGTTTGTTTTGAGTCTAATCCTGCCCTACACTGTGCTTGCCCCATCCCCAGAGGTGCTCAAGGCCAGGTTGGATGGGGCAGCCCAATCCAGTGGGTGGCAACGTGCCCACAGCGGGCCATTGGAACTGGATGGGTCCCTTTAAGGTCCCTTCCAACCCAAACCATTCTATGATTCAATGATTCTATGATTCTCAGTGTTTTATGAGTTACCAATTTAACAGCACACTATCATCCAGGCTAATGAAAATAGGGAATGATACTACATTCCAAGTTGAAGACTAACAAAGACCTGATTTTGTACATCTTTCCACTCAAAGAGTGAGTCATGTGCAGTTATCTCTGAAGGCCACCTACCAGTTTTGTCATGCCCTCAGCGATCAGTGCCACATAACTCTCAGCCACTAGATGAGTGTTGAGGTGGTGCCAGGAGCCTTGCTTAAGTCAAGCTATAGCATCTGCTGCTTCTTCCTATCTACATGACGTTATCTCATCATCAAAGACAAGTAGGCTGGTCTGACACTGTTCCTCCTTGAGAAATCTCTCTTATTTACTTTTGAAAAGAATCTGAACAAAAATGGATTAACTATCACACGATTTTTCCAGGTATTGATGTTTAACTAACTGACCTATATTTACTCAGTTTTCCTTTTTTTCACCATTTTGAAGAAATGAACACAGCAGCTCCTTCCTGTCTTTCCATGTCTCACTTTTTTTTCTAGGACAGCTTTTGCCTCTCCTCAGGTTGCTTCAGACACTTATGGATGAAGCTGCCTTTGCTGGAGTACTGGTCAATTTGCAGAGACCCCTTAAGGGATCTTTCACAGTTTGGATGGAGAATAAAACCTTTAACAGTCTTTCAGAAATACCTCAATGAAGACCTTACATACAATGAAATATTAACATTGCTGTTTCTAGTTACTGGGGTTACTGCACTGTCTTGGAATATGTACTTGCCCTGTGAAATGGACAGTATTTTCCTCACTTAACTTGGGGAAAGTCAAAGGTATGGCTGTTCAAAGTGCTCATTCATACTTAATTCTTGAGACAGAAATACACAGCATCTTGTCATCTAGATGCCCCACTGATATTCTCAGGCTACTCCCAGCAAAAAGGTTTCTTGTTCTGAAGAAATCCCCTAAGCTATACTGCTGGTTAGTAACAAACCTAGAAACCACAGCCAAATCTATGATCCAGCTCCCAGAGCTGTGCAATGACCATTACTCAACTGTCAATGCACAAAGAGAAACAGCAGCTCCATGGGTATTTGCATACAGGAAAACTTACCAAAGCCCTTTCATTTACCATAGGGATGAAGCAGAAGAATGTATTGCACACAAAGCCTGCAAAAAACCTGGGAGAGAGCCTGGCTGATTTCACTGTATGCAGAAGGGAAGCATTTCCCCCACCTGGGGAGACAGGAGGCAGCTTTCATGGTTGAAGAAAAGAGACTGCCAGGTGCTGGGAAGTCTTTTCCAAAAGCAGGGCCAAAGAAAGCCCATGTGGAAGCTCCACTATCTAGCATCTATTTAAAAGCATGTAGGAAATGGTAAGGAACTGTTTAGGTACTGAAAGTGATCCCGTGATCAAGATGTTTATCGCTAGATTCTTTCCTCCTCTTTTCCTTAATTCTACAAGGAGAAGCATTAAGTCCCTTTCTAGGTGGGAACACTTTCCAATTGCTTCATTTTTACAGCAAACCAGTTGTGAAAAAAACTTTATTTGAATGAAGCAGCCACATTTTTCAAGAAATTGCAGCAAAAATGACCTAGGTGTGTTTCCAGTATGACCAGAACCTACTGGGGCAGATAGACGTTGCCTATAAGGGAGTACTGCAGGCAAGGGGAGCATGAAAAGGACATCACCAAGCTATAATGCGCTCAGCGGGCACACCAAAATTGCACTTTGCTCCCCCATCATATCATTTCCATGTTATTTCTTCCAGAAGGATGCTATTTTTAGTGGAAAGATATGGCAGAAAATATTTCCTGTGTTTTGTTACTGAAAGACCATCTATTTTCTAACCAGCATCAGCTGCTATATAGCAATCTCCAGCATGCAGGTCACATATGCATAGCAGTGCTCAGAAATGACTGTTTCATATGCAGACACCTCATTTCCCTTAAAAACCTGAGGCAAATGCCTTCAAAACATTAGTCCCCTGACCAAACTTTAACCTGCTTGAGAGAGTTCATGTCTTCAAGAAAACCTCCTGTATGCTTCACAGCAGGCAAGTCTAATGTTATAAATGCTGCTTAGATCTACATGGCCGAAAAGTCAGGGGAAGTTCCCATGGCTCTCGTCTGATGTCTTCCCAGACAGAAAGGCAAGGCTAGAATGCTCTGTGGTTGGGCTGCTGAAAGGAAATTGCACTCATTCTCCTTGTGATGAGCGCATCTCACCTTCGTTTCCATGCAGAGGAGGGCTGCACTGAACCAGCAGCCAGAATCAATGCTACCCCTCAATATTCAGCTGTAAAAAAGCTATGCGAAAGCATGCTCCCTGCCTTCCCTGTTTCATTCAAAGCACAGCATTATGAAGTACCACTTCCCTCTCATTGCCTGCCCCAGCAGTTATCCTGATGGCCATTTCTGCTTTTTGCCATTGCTTTCATTTTCCATCTGGTGACCAAGGGCTGACTTGAGCAGCCTCTGCAGTGTGACTTGGCTCACTTCCTCACCACTGAAATCTGCACTGTGAATGACGTGGTTGTGTGTCAAAGTCCCGTTTCAATCAAGCTTAGAGTTGTTACATCTAACTGTCCTAATTGACACAGAGAAAATACTTTTGATTGAAATATTGGTTGAAATACTGATTGAAGTATTGGTTGAAATATTGCCATCTAAGGCAACACAATTTCTGTTTACAGCACTAACATGGCTCAAAAGCTAAAAGAAGATGAAGTAGAATATTGAATCATAAAGTTAAATGGTGGCTATGCTCTGTACATTTGTGCACATAATAAATGCAAGGCAGTACATCCCTCTGGGAACTGAGAATCACACCTACAGCATTTCTGATGCACAGATATCCACACTTGTGCTGGCATTGGTATGACCAGCTTTGCTTTGGGAATACATTTGGCAAAAGCAGTGAGAATGCATGATGTCCTAACTGCTTGTAACACTACCTACAGTAGAGAGAGTTGCCAAAACTATAGTGGCTGGACCAGGCTCTGAGCAGCCTGATCTAGCTGTAGATGTCCCTGTTCATTGCAGGGGACTAGGACTAAATGACCTTTAAAGATCCCTTCCAACTCAGACAGTTCTATGATTCTATGAAAATGCACCCCACAGTTCCACCTGGGAGTATGTGGAAAGTCCAGCTGCACACCCTCACCAGAAGAGGAGAAGCACCCTGTCAGCTTTGGTGGCTACCAGCAAGGCCATGGCTGGAGATGGGATCACCTCAGTGCCCCTTTGCAGGCACCCACCCCATGTGGCCCCATTGCCCAGGACAGGGACCAGCCTTACTGCCAGGTCCCTGGAAAACTTCATTAGCAGCAGGTGAGCACCTTTGGCAGTTACCACTCAGGCCTTGCTCCATAGCCAAGAGGGCCAGCTATCCTTAATAGTATTTCCTAGGACTGGGAATAACCACGCAGACTCTACATGAGCTGGGGGACAACACATCCTCTCACCAGCAGTACTGAGAACTGCTTCCCAGCTCCCTGGGAACACCAAAGCCAGATCATTCAGCGTTCCTCTCTCAGCAGAGCAAAAAACATGAACTTTGGGAAGCAGTCACTCAAAAACAAAATCATAAAGTAGTTCCAGGCCCCATGCTGGCCTTGCAACATCCCGAACGATTATTTCACCAACAACACTGAGTGTTTTGCAGTACAGCCACAGGAGCAGATAACGGAGTGATTTATGATGTGTGCAGCAGTTCTCTGCTCACCGGTGCAGTAACAAAAGAACAGCCAGCAGGACAGACAGCCTGTACATACCGACACAGGTCTGTCCCTGGGACAGCCCGGAGGGGAGCGCAGCGGGCGGTGGGAGCTCTGCAGCGGGCAGCGGGGAGCAGGAGATAGCCCTCAGCAGGAATGGCAGCCAGAGGATGCAGAACCAGTTCGGAAATACCTGCCTAGAGGCCCTCATCCTAAGGAAAGCAACAGAAAAACAACAATCAGAAAAGCAGAGCGCAAGCAGGCCTGCATTGCTCTAATGCACGGAGAGCATCCTGCATCCTCATTGCTCCTCTGTGGGTAAGAGCTGGTGCAGGGCTGCTCCAAGGAGCATCCGTGCTCACCCCATGACCCTGGTTAGATGCTGACCACAGCCCCCAGCTCCCCCCGTGCCCCACTGACCCCGTTGCAGCTGTTCCCAACCTACTGGCCTGGTGGGACCAGGAGGGTGCTGTGAGCAGCTCTGCACGGCGCGCCTGCAGCGAGTGACTAACGACCTTAAACCACAGTAGCTGCCGGAGCCACTCAGCATTAATAACGCAAGACACTCCCCTGAGCAACTCGTGTTGCATAAAGAAAAAGCCGACAAAACCCTTCCCCCCAGCCTTCCTCCGTTCAGATAAATGAAAAAGAAAAGAAGAAGATCTCCTTCTGTTCCTTTAGAGCAGGGTTTCCATTTGGGCAGATGGGATAAAAATAAAATAGAGAAAAAAAAGAAGAAAGAGGCTGCAGGCGGTGGAGACTGAGCCAGGGGATGGGCGGGCAGCTGCCAGTGGGATGGGAACAGCGGAAGCCGAGTGAGTGGCACATCTGGAATGGGCGCAGCTGCCTCAATGTGCATCCCTGACCTCGCCAGGGATGGGGACACCCTGACCACTCCCACAGCTAAAGGCTTCCCCACTTCGTTTGGGTTGCTGCAAAGAAACTGCTGCCAGCTGCTCCCTGTCCCAGATGATCATGGTCTCCCGGGTGTGGGAAGGCTTCACTCAGATGTGCTGAGATGCTGTGAGGAGCCTGTGTTGTCCAGCATGAAAGTGTGCTTCTTGTGTGTAATTAAAGCAGGATCATGAATGGTGCTGTGAAGGAAATATAGACAATATAAATCAGTATTTTCTTGACTTTAAAATCAATAATTCCCCATAAAACCCTCAGCTATTCCTGCGGATCAGTGTGACCCCAGTGGGATCACGTCAGCTCCAGTGTTTAACATGTTTATTTTGCGAACTGCTTCTTACAGCTTCCCCTCTGTGGGAATCCCACCTATTTTGTCTTGGGAGTGGGTCCTTGAAAGTCTGCCTCAGCTCTGGGAAGCAGAATTTGTCTCATCATCCATGGTTCTGTAATGTAGTGGCTCCGGAAAATAAAAAGACTATTAAAAGCATCATTGTAAATGCATATTGTGGCACATTCATTCTTTATTCTAATCCACTTGCAAATGCATGTTTTTCCTTTTCTAGGCAAACAAACAAACAAGCAAACAAACAAACAAACTTTAAGTAGGGGTAATAGCTGTTGCCTGAGCTTTACAGTTCCTGCTTATCATTCCTCATATAGATAGCACTGTTCAGAGCGGCTCTCTCTTTCTGCTATTTTTAATAGCAGATAAACAAAAATCATAGTGCAAAGTATCTTATCCATATGCCAGCCCTGCTGAAATCTGCAGGATGTTTTTCTTAACGCTGTAGAAACTTGCTATAAAAAGTTGCTGTGCTACGGTGACTGCAGCTCCATTAAACCCTCTTTAACATACATATCACTTGGTTCCCGATGACACTTTGAAGTCCTTTAAAACTGTGCATATTGAGTGCTTGCTGCAAAAGCAGAGTGCTAATAATAGGCAAGGAGAAAATCTTCCTAGCACTGAGGTCTGGAGAATAGTTTCCAATTTATCTCTGTAGCAAAACATGAATCTACACAACAGAGCTTAGAAAGCATATAGATATCTCCAAGGCTGCTCCCCGGCGAGGTGAGCTGCAGAGCACACAGCTCTGTCCCGTCATCAGTGGGATTACTGTCTTGCATTTGAGGCTGGAAAGAGCAGTGAGATTACCTGGAATCGCATGTAACTGCGAATTTCACGAGATCTTACGCATTCATGATGCTCTTTACCCAATTAAAGAAAACCCCAAAGCCTTTAGAACACGCAATCTGGTCGGACAAACAAGGGATCTACATGTACAGATTTAGAGGCCAGCTGGCAAGGTGCCCCCCTGCCGATGCTGAGTTTTAATTCCTCCCACTCAAATCACATAGCTGGTTCTGCCTTTTGCCAAATCGGTTTTGTATGGCTTTCAAGTCCCAAAGACAGTGAGGCCTAATGGTGCCTGAGTAGAGCAGTGAAGGAACATGTGGTGATGTACCTTCTTGATAAGCACATAAACGATGTAAATGGGAGGTGAAAAATAATAAATAAATAAATAAATAAATAAATAAATAAATAAAGCATTAGATATGTCCTAAAGAAAAGGATTTGACCATAAACACTTCCATTTTGCTTACATGCAACATCTGAGCCAGGAAAGGTATACCTGAGATACACCTGCTGCTTGCCAGCAGACTGGGGTGTCCTCTGCCTTGAGCAGTATGGCAGGATCAGGCCAAAAAACCCAAAGCAAAGCAGGTGGAACAGAACAGAGCCCAGTCTGAATTTACATGAGTGCAGAGGACAAGGCAGCAGTGCATGTGTGCACCCCGTGAACAAATGTGATCCTGGAGCAGGCGCTGAGATCAAGGGTTTGGGATCTGAAGGACATATAAGTCTCCTTCATTGCATGTACTTCAATATTAGTTCCTGACAACTAATGGAAAATAGCTTGGGTGGTGGTGAGAAATGAGCTTGGGGATGGGTAAAGTTTCAGCCTCCATTCCTGATAGAGATGCAATGAAACAGTTAGGCTTCTGATCTGAATGAGGGCTTAGGCAGCATTGCCAGCACTGCCAGCACTCCCAAAGGAAACAGTCACCCTTTCCCCAAAGGGGATGCTTTCTGGTTGCTACTAAAAGTGTGAAATGAGATGCAAGAATGGAGTTATTCTCAGTGTTGCTTTTGGTAATGGGTCCCTCAGGACCTGTTTATGTACATGGCTGACACACTGAAAAAAACCATGAAAAGAAAAGGGGATGTAAAATACTCACTTGAGGCTCTGAAACAGGACAAATAAACATCAGTATATCATCTGTCAGGAGCAGGGAGTGACTGGCTGAAGATGGGAGACACTCCCTTGGAATATGAAATGATCACCTTACGAAAGGAGATCACAGTTAGCACTGGGTATTTATCTATCCTGTTGTGTCCAAGTCTCTGCACATGTTCCTTCCCTTCCCTTCCCTTCCCTTCCCTTCCCTTCCCTTCCCTTCCCTTCCCTTCCCTTCCCTTCCCTTCCCT